CAAGATCCGAGTAAGAACGTGGTGGTGCTGGCAACTGTGGGGATCGGCGGCATCGGAAAGACCACCCTCGCTCAGAAGGTGTTCAATGATGGTAAAATCAAAGCCAGCTTCCGCACCACCATCTGGGTGTGCGTGTCCCAAGAGTACAGCGAGACGGATCTTCTCAGAAATATCGTTAAAGGTGCTGGTGGAAGCCATGGTGGAGAACAGAGCAGGAGTCTGCTGGAGCCCCTGGTGGAGGGTCTCCTTAGAGGGAACAAGTTCTTGCTGGTGTTGGATGATGTTTGGGATGCTCAGATCTGGGACGACTTGCTCCGCAATCCTTTGCAGGGAGGCGCAGCAGGGAGCAGAGTGCTGGTGACTACCAGAAACGCAGCGATCGCGAGGCAAATGAAGGCGGCCCACGTCCACGAGATGAAGCTGCTGCCTCCGGAGGATGGCTGGTCGCTCCTGTGCAAGAAGGCGACGATGAATGCAGAGGAGGAAAGGGATGCCCAAGATCTCAAGGACACAGGCTTGAAGATTGTTGAGAAATGCGGAGGGCTTCCCCTGGCCATCAAGACCATCGGAGGGGTCCTCCGCGACAGAGGACTCAACAGAAGTGCGTGGGAGGACGTTCTCCGCAGCGCCGCATGGTCACGGACCGGGCTTCCCGAAGGTATGCACGGAGCACTGTATCTGAGCTACCAAGACCTGCCGTCCCATCTCAAGCAATGCTTTCTCTACTGCGCCTTGTTCCGAGAAGATTTTGATTTTGAGAGGCCTGAAATCGTCATATTATGGATAGCCGAGGGGTTTGTCGAAGCACGAGGAGATGTCAGCTTGGAGGAAACAGGGGAGCAATATTACATAGAGCTGCATCATAGGTGCCTTCTACAATCGCTGCAACCTTTCAGTCTGGACTACCATAATTATTCCAAGATGCATGACTTGCTGCGATCGCTCAGCCATTTCCTATCGAGAGATGATAGCTTGTGCATTAGTGACGTGCAAAACGAGTGGAGAAGTGGTGCCGCCTCGATGAAGCTGCGTCGGTTGTCGATTGTGGCCACTGAAACCACGGACATCCAGCATATCGTCAGTTTGATCAAGCAACATGAGTCGGTGAGGACATTGTTAGTACGTGGCTATGCGAAGGATATAGATGATTACTTGAAGAACTTTGTGCGACTTAGAGTCCTCCATCTCATGGGCAGAAATATCCAGAGCCTACCACACTACATGGGAAATTTGATACACTTGAGATACTTGACTGTGTCTCATAGCCATATAACGGAGCTTCCAGAAAGCATATGCAATCTGACGAATTTGCAGTTTTTGATCCTTTTTGGATGTAGACGGTTGACACAGATCCCCCAAGGTATAGTAAGACTAGTCAATCTAAGGGCACTCGATTGTAAAGGTACACGGCTGGAGAGCTTTCCATATGGAATCAAAAGGTTGAAGCACCTCAATGAACTCCAAGGATTCGTCGTGAACACGGGCATTGGTATGTGCCCATTGGAAGCATTATGCGGCCTCAAGGAGCTCAGAGACCTCTCCATTCACAGGTTGGAGAGGGCGTGGCTGGAAGCTGAACCGGGAAGAGATACGAGCGTCTTAAAGGGTAACCAAAAACTGAAGAAACTACTTTTAAGTTGCTCATTCACATCCGATGGTCACACTGAGGAACAGATTGAAAGAATCGAGAAGGTGTTGGATGTGGCACTTCATCCACCATCATCTGTTGTTTCGCTCAGTTTACACAATTTGTTCGGCCGCCGGTACCCAAGCTGGATGGCGTCTGCAAGCATCAGTTCGCTTCTTCCAAACATAAGACACTTGGAACTAATTGACTGCTATGATTGGCCACTGCTTCCACCGCTAGGAAAGCTCCCCAGTTTGGAGTTTCTTGTCATACGAGGTGCACGTGCAGTGACAACCATCGGACCGGAATTTTTTGGGTGTGAAGCTGCTGCTGCTACTGGAAATGATCGTGAACGGAATTCAAAGCGCCCTTCTTCTTCTTATCCTACTTCTCCTTCGTTGTTTCCGAAACTAAGGCAGCTGGAACTCAGGAAAATGACTAACATGGAAGTGTGGGATTGGGTAGCGGAAGGCTTTGCTATGCGTCGCCTCGACAAATTGGACCTCGTAAATTGCCCCACGTTGAAGTCCCTACCGGAAGGCCTGATCCGACAGGCAACCTGTTTAACCACATTGAATCTGAGGGATGTGTGTGCTCTCAAGTCCATCAGAGGTTTCCCTTCTGTAAAAGAACTGAGTATAAGTGGTGAATCAGATCTGGAGATTGTTACTGATCTCCCTGCACTGGAGGTATTGGAGTTGGGCGAGTTTTTGCTTCCAAACAATCATTTACCAGAGTGGTTGGCGGATTGCCCTGCATGTTTCACTATCCTACAGAGACTGGACGTACACGGAACCACCCAACTCCTCCGCAGATGCCTCCAAAATGGCGCATACTGGCCCATGATCAAACACTTTCCTAATTTTTCCATCAAAGATGACCGAGGCAATTATATAAACTACATCAAGCATTCCGGCACCTTCGAGACAAACCTAGATGATGCTGCTGCTTTCGCTGCTGCTGCTGCTGAAGAAGAAGAAGAAGGAGAAGACATCAATGAGCTTTGAGGTAACTTAGCCTTTCATGCTCACGTCTCCACCATCTAACGCCGTCTGGTTTTGGAGTGGCAACTCTCAATCATCTTTTGCTGCTTATGGCAGAGAGATCGACATCATTCACGATGTAATTGGCAGTCATGTCTAAAATGATCATTGCAAATGGAGCTGACCATGGAAAGTCCGAGACTTTTGAGCGGAAATGCAGATCGAGAGGTTGGTTGCGACTCATGCTACATTCCTATGATATGGTGTTGAAACTACATTCCCAAGATATGGTGATGAAACTATATATATTGAGGAACATACAGATCATGTGTTGTGGAATTACTGTAGAACTAAGATGCAGACCTGTGAGTCTGTCAAATATTTGACAGACCTGTGAGACTGTCAAATATCAAATATCAGAAGAACACCAAGTGTTCTTCTGAATATACTT